CATTCCTCTCGTCAGTTTGACTTCCAGCCCATTGACGCGTGGCTTTTACGTCACCAGAGGTGAGAAGGATCCATCATCATCGACGTTGGCGATTGACTTTACGTCGCCTTACACGACGATCGACAGTTTCATTGAACAGCAGACGGAAACCGCTTTAACTCCCGACATTTCTACGACCGACGAGACTGTCACTATTACTCATAATAATCAGAACGAACCAGGATCCGATGATAATATAAATGATATAGTAACCGACAAAGTCACTCGTAACGATCAGAATGAGTTAGAACTCAATACTTTCAACAACAATATAAATGACATTATTAAAAGAAAAGATGATCGTGAAGAAAAATCTTCCACGTTCGATTCTTTGATGATCTCTTCGGAAAATTCTGACAGCGCCGAGAATCCTTCGACTTATACAGAGCCTGATATAATTACAATTCCTGTCAGTAGACCTACGTCTAAAAGAGGAAAATCACTACGTAATTTTGATTATAATACGACACCTCTTTCTGATGTTTACGCCGTTTCGCCGACAACATCGACAAAACGAAGAATCGCCATCGCCATAAGCAAATACAAAGAAGCTAGCATTCCGTTGTGGACGGGTAAACGTGTAGTGATCAGAAAACGAAACAGGACTGCTGTTTCGTCGATCAAGGAAGCCGAGAGACGAATCGACGAGACTGCTTCTCCTCGCACCGCAACGAATATCTTCAAAAGCGATTCTGCAACTTCTGAGATCCCTTCGACATTGACTTCGGCAAAGCGTAAACTCGCCGCGATTTCAACGGTACCGACAACACCATTAATTGTGTCTGAATCTATGATATCTCCCAAAATTTTAGATGTTTCCAGCGATCTTGCATATTCAACTGACGGTTCGATGACCGAAGACTCGATAGATAGCACAAGTGCAGAAACAGCGATTACTTTAACAAACTCGATAATTGCAGCGACTTCTCCAATCACAAAAATTGCTTCAATAACGAATAATTCCACAGTTATTTCAACGATCTCCGATGATTTTACAAGCGTAACTGCGATACCTTCAACCGCAAATGAATCTATAATTATGACCACACCATCATCGACTGTCGCTGTTGCAAAGGCTCCCATAGTTGCAAGTGATCAAGCCACGATCACGACTAAATCCGCGATTAAAAGCGCTGGAATTGAAATTCCAGTTTCTATGACTGCAGATTATTTCGTAGCTGCTGTTCCAACAACTGCGAGTACGCACGCAATCGCAAATGATTCTGTAATTACATCCACGATTACGAGTATTGGCGTTGAAATAACTTCCCCAATTGCAAATTATTCGACTGATTTTGCAAATATGATTGTACCCGCAACTATAAGCGCCGAAGATAAAATTACTTCAACAATTACAAATTATTCTGTAACTGATATTCCGATAAATACAAGTACGAACGCAATTGTGACTGATTCTGCAGTTACGACTGCACCCGCAATTACAATTAGTACAGGAATCGAAACTACTTTGACAGTCGCAGATTCCGTAGTCGCGATTCCAACAGCTACGAATAAGCAAGAAATTGCCATTGATCCTACGATCATAACTACGTCTGCAACTACAAGTACCGAAGTTGAAACTACAATTACAAATAATACCGCATTCGTTATCCCACCAACTACCATGATCCCTGCTATTACTATCCCATCGTCAATTATTTCTTCTACGCATTCAACTATACCTGCGACAACGAGCAATCTTGCGGATGCAGATACTGTAACTGTGACAAATATGTTAACTACGACAATACCTACAACTGTAGTTATTCCGACGATTAGTGACCCGAATGTAATTACGTCTGCAAATGCAAACGTTCCGTCTACTTTCGCAATCACTGACACAACTACGAGTTTACCTCAAACTAGTTCTGTAATTTCATCCAAAGATTCCGTTACAAGCGCAGATGAAACCTCAGCTGTGCCTACGACTTTAACGATAGAATCTACCACGACACATTTCAATTCGAATGTTTTTAATATTAGCATTAATTCAGAAGTATCAGCCGTCACGGCAACTGCAAAGTTTATCCAAACTACCGAAATTCCCACGACATTCGAAACTTCTCCGATATTTACCTCGACCGTCATTTCGAGATCTCTTCCTAGTACCAATTCCGAAATGTTGTCGACCACTGTTTTCTCGGACCAAACGAGCGAGAATTCTGTGACATCAATGGTTACGCAAATTCCCTCAACTCTCTTTTCAATCGTAACACCGGTTACTAATATAGCAACTGTAGAAAAATCGACACTTTCCGCTACTTACGATGAATCAATCGCGACAAACACCATAATTCAAACCACGGGCATTTATGAACCGAGTTCTGTACAAACGACGAGTAAAGAGTCTGCGACTCCAAAAATGAAGACAGCTTCAAGGACTATAGAAAGTCGAAAACAAGATCGGATTTCGAAACTCGATGATCAAGTCGGTCAGAAAACCTCCAGGCGTCGCGTCGTAAATCGGACGAACAATTGGATCGGACTGCGAGTACGCACGCAATCGCAAATGATTCTGTAATTACATCCACGATTACGAGTATTGGCGTTGAAATAACTTCCCCAATTGCAAATTATTCGACTGATTTTGCAAATATGATTGTACCCGCAACTATAAGCGCCGAAGATAAAATTACTTCAACAATTACAAATTATTCTGTAACTGATATTCCGATAAATACAAGTACGAACGCAATTGTGACTGATTCTGCAGTTACGACTGCACCCGCAATTACAATTAGTACAGGAATCGAAACTACTTTGACAGTCGCAGATTCCGTAGTCGCGATTCCAACAGCTACGAATAAGCAAGAAATTGCCATTGATCCTACGATCATAACTACGTCTGCAACTACAAGTACCGAAGTTGAAACTACAATTACAAATAATACCGCATTCGTTATCCCACCAACTACCATGATCCCTGCTATTACTATCCCATCGTCAATTATTTCTTCTACGCATTCAACTATACCTGCGACAACGAGCAATCTTGCGGATGCAGATACTGTAACTGTGACAAATATGTTAACTACGACAATACCTACAACTGTAGTTATTCCGACGATTAGTGACCCGAATGTAATTACGTCTGCAAATGCAAACGTTCCGTCTACTTTCGCAATCACTGACACAACTACGAGTTTACCTCAAACTAGTTCTGTAATTTCATCCAAAGATTCCGTTACAAGCGCAGATGAAACCTCAGCTGTGCCTACGACTTTAACGATAGAATCTACCACGACACATTTCAATTCGAATGTTTTTAATATTAGCATTAATTCAGAAGTATCAGCCGTCACGGCAACTGCAAAGTTTATCCAAACTACCGAAATTCCCACGACATTCGAAACTTCTCCGATATTTACCTCGACCGTCATTTCGAGATCTCTTCCTAGTACCAATTCCGAAATGTTGTCGACCACTGTTTTCTCGGACCAAACGAGCGAGAATTCTGTGACATCAATGGTTACGCAAATTCCCTCAACTCTCTTTTCAATCGTAACACCGGTTACTAATATAGCAACTGTAGAAAAATCGACACTTTCCGCTACTTACGATAAATCAATCGCGACAAACACCATAATTCAAACCACGGGCATTTATGAACCGAGTTCTGTACAAACGACGAGTAAAGAGTCTGCGACTCCAAAAATGAAGACAGCTTCAAGGACTATAGAAAGTCGAAAACAAGATCGGATTTCGAAACTCGATGATCAAGTCGGTCAGAAAACCTCCAGGCGTCGCGTCGTAAATCGGACGAACAATTGGATCGGAACAC